TGAGTAACAGAATGTAGGTGAACGGATACACTGGGTGGTGTAAGATACAGGAAAAATAAGAAAGCCGAGTGCCTTCAAGCAGGCGGCTTGCAGACTGTGCAGGGTGCCTCTGCACACTTACTGGTGGAGCTGAGGATCTGTGTGGCGTTGCCTGAGCAGGCCAGGATGGGGGAGCTGTTGGAGCCCAGAGAGGGTGTCAGCAGCTAAAAAGATGCTGTCCTGACCAAACAACTCTTATCTTTTCCAGATCCTGAAGGGCAAACGTTACTTCCCTAATAAACCCCAGAATCACGAGCATGGCCTGTGTGGGCACTGCAACAAATGACTGCACTGAGCAGGGGAGGAGAGAGTGCTCAGGAGGCACAGGTAGGGTCAGAACTGGTTGAAAGGTTGGAGAGAGGACCTAAGTCTGTCCTCTGCCTCTTAGGAATCAGCCTTGGGTTGATGCTGACGAGGATGGTTCTCTGCCCCTCATGGAGTCAGCGGTCAGATGCCTTCACGCCATTGTCATTCTGAAACCTCTAGACATCTCCTTTTCTCATTTCACTACTAAGGAACACTTATCTCAGGACGGTGTATCATGTTATAAACAAACCAGCACGAGATTCCAGTGGGAACAAAGCAGTGGCATTGTGCTTTATTTATGAACAAAATGCATGTGCTGCAGCTGCCAGGATGGTCCATCACTGCCCCAATGGTCCAACACCGCTGGGTCAGGCTGAGGATCGCAGACTTCTTAAAACAAAATTAGCAAAAAAGGTTGAAAGAAACTCTAAAGGCGAGTCTTTCAGATGGAAAGGCTTTCCTCTTGTTCCTTTCTAAATCCTATGAGAAACATGGCTCCGTTTCTGAGGAAGACCGCCCGCAGCAGCACCACACAGGGACGGACCAGTTTTCTTCAGCGGAACCCACCCGAGTGCTTTTGGGAAGTGCATCTTCACAAAGAGCAGTTACTACGGGACAGGGCCCCATGGCCGAGCTCCTATTGAAATTTATCCACGGGGGGTGGGGGTGGGTGGGGGATGTGCAAATCTAGCAACATAGAAAGGACCCCTTCGTTTTGCCTCATGGAAAAGTGATGGTGGTCAGCGGGGCCAGTTCCAAGGGCTGGTCCAGGGGGGGCCGCTGGTCTTGATACTCTGCTACATGCCCATTGCGGTGGTGACCATACTCAAACTTGATCCGCAGCTCTCCGATCTTGGACTGCGGAAGGATATCTGGGATCCACTCAATGATGAAGGGTGTTGGCTCCTTCTGATCTGGGGACGTGTTGCCTCCAAGAACAGGGAGAAAAGCACACATTAGTCGAATGCCACGTGACTCAGAATGTCTTGAATTGTGGCCCCCACATAAATGTTGTAAATTCTGTCTCCTTTGACTGTGGCTGTCATCTCATTAAGAATGGGTTGTCTTTTTTATGTTACTGAGACAGGATTAGAGCTAGGGTTAGTGTAGGGTATATATTGAGTCAATCTCTAATAATGCATAAAGCTTTCCTGTCAGCATTTGTATTTAAAGCATTGCTTTTTAATCATCGGCGAATGGTTCTGGTTGGTACTTTACTGTCTTATTCTCCCAGTATTTTACCTCAAACAGCCACTTTGTGCAATATTACTTTCCTCCACATTTTTTGTGACCTTTGGAAACAGCCTCCTTCCACCCCAGACTAAGCCTCTTAGACGGGGGTTTTCCAGTGTGTGGTTTCTGCTAGTGGAGACTAGAAGCACAGTGCCCCAGCAGGCTCGGGTGCTTGTTGAGCGTTGGTCGAGAGCCCTCCCATGAAGCCACTGCCAGCTTTTCACTTCAATGAAGGCACAGAAAAGTTGAAAGCCGAGACCATGCCAACACCTGGGAGCGAACCCCAACAGATGGACACGGGTGGCGAGAAGCCGGCCTGCCTTCTGTCCAGGGTGCATCCCAGCTTGCCTTCGCAAGGGAGGCTGCCTGGAAAAAGGATGGAAGATGCTTGGTCCCTCCCGCCATTTGTTCCCTGGCCCCAGCGTGTACAAACTGAAAGTCATGCAGGCCATTCCTACCCGTTCAAAAGACCGGACCCCTCCCGCATTGTGCCTGCGTGCCTGATGGCTGCGAAAGGGAATTGGAGGGTACGTACTTTGGATGTGTTATCAGTGGACACCAGTCCCGGGAAAAGGACACCATGCTTGGTAAAGTAGAGGGGAAGCGGAAAAGAGGGAGACACTTGACAAGATGGAGCGACACAGTGGCTGCAACAACAGGCTTACAAATGAGAACACTTGTGAGGATGGCAAAGGAGCGGGTGGTATTTCGTTCTGTGTCCATCGGGTCAACAGAATGGCCTGGATGACACCTCTCAAGTACCCACGTAAAGCTGATGAGCAGTGCCCGCATGTGTTCTCGAAGGGCAAGCTGCACACACACAGCGAGACAGCAGGGAGAGAGAAGGGACAACCTGGAGAGCTGCATGCTGAAATTTTTAGTTTTGTGTTTCCCCCCCTCCCCCCTTGTAGTACACTGCTCCAAATGAGCAGAGGAGTTGATGAGAATCCACTGTGATGAATGATAAGTGAATATAAAAAAAGAAACCACATTGACCAGTGGTTACCCTGGTGAATGAGTTTACGTGAATGGTGGTAAAATGTGGAAAAGGGTATCAGTAAAGGTTGTACAACATGAGGAGTAAAGTCAATGGCACTGAGTTTTACACGTAGAAGTTGTGGAATTGGAGAATGCTTTGTTGTGTATATTTTGGCCACAATTAGAAAAAAATGCATGAGTAACAAACAAGGAAAAGGAAGAAGAATATATTTTAGAATTGAATGAGGTGATAATTGTACAACTCTTGATAGAATTACTGAATTGTATCACATGTGGATGAAGTACTAATAAAACTGTTTAAAAAAAATTCTATGATGAGAGCAATTGCAGGAATGGACCTGGGGTTGTGTAACCAGCCCTTCAACTGCAGCTGCGAGGTGGGGATCAGGATGGGCCCATGGAAAGTCTGCTACCCAAAGGAGTCCACAAAGAACTTCACTTGTGACAAGAACAGAACAAGAAGTAAAAGGGCAAAAAAAAAAAAATGCTGGAAAACTCTCTAGACAAATAGAAGAATCTAGGGAAGGGAAAGGGTTACTGGTGCTAACGAGGAAATTTCAGGGAGTAGTTGGGTGTCCTCAAAAATTAAAAGACAAACAACCCCCCTCAAAAAAAAAAAAAAAAGACGCTGTAGCCTCTGTGACAGGGAGGCCAAAACCAGTCCCAAGGAGAGCCCCCTGGGAGAGGACAGCAGTGCCAGAGAGGGACGGACGGCTGGTGAGAGAAGGGCACGCTTCAAGAAGGCCAGAGAGAGAAGTAAAATCTGCATGCTTCGAAAATATAATATGAATTCATAACAGCGAGAGTATGGTACTGGCACATATCTAGATAGATTAGAGAGAACAACGAAAGACTACTTCCACCAGATTTAAAATTAAAATTTGGTATGAAAACAAACAAAAACCACAAAGACTTGAAACCGACAGAAGAACCCAGCACATGGTAAAGATGGCATGTTCAGCGAGTAGAAGAGACAAAAAAGTGTTAACCTAAATGGTGTGTATCAAAAAGATAGCCATCTAGAAGAAAATTAGAATAAAAATAAATTCCAGAAGAGCCAAAAGTTACACATGAGAAATGTAGGCTAAAGAATACTATCACACAGCGCTGCGGTTTGTGTTCGGACGTCCGCTTCCTGGGTGCAACAGGACAGCACTGCCTGCTCCTGAGCCAGCCCCACGCTGCTGTCACGGGGAGCCCGTAAAAGACTATAGGAAGACATGGGCCTTCTTCAAAACTACAGGAAATGAAACAAAACCAGGAAACAAAGCAAAACAAAATCGCACACACACAACAAGCAGACAAAAGATCAGCTGTACCAATTATAAAAAGAATCGGGGGTATATCCATTTCAGAGAAGTACAATGACAATATATTGCCAACAACTGAGGCAACACCAGTGCTGCAGTGAAAACATGAAGGCTCTTAGAAACAAGAAGCCATTTACAGAAGCATAATTGTGACAGGAAATTGTCTCATGACCTTCCAATCTTTATGTGGCAAATAAGATACTACAGATAAAGAGAATTTAAAACCGTTCACAAATTTAAAAGCTATGTAAAACTTTGCATCACACAAGTAATATCTTTACTGGAAAAAACTCCTGATTATCAAGTTCATAAGGAAAAAAATGTTAAGTGCTAAGAAAAACTGGAAAAAAAGTACGTTTTGAACTTTTAATACAACTAGGAATTGATAACTCAAGAATACGTATAAAAATCAAGTTGGCAAATGTGTTGTTCTTTTTGCAACAATATAAAAAAAGACGAATTTTTTTAAAACCTATTAGTAAAAAGAATCTAAGTACAAAGTTTTAAAAATTGTGTATACCATAAACTAAGTAAAACTCTACTAATCTACACCACGCAAGCACTGTTGTTTTGTTTTTTTATTGGGGGCTTGTACAATTCTTATCACAATCCATACATAGATTCATTTAAACAATTCTTTTATAGGAGGGGTGTTGTTCACTGAAGAAATACTGTAACCCCTTAAAGGAATTGCCTCAAAATAGTCCATCAGAAATTATGTAGCAATAAATTCCAGAGGGGTTTTGTTTGTTTCTTGGTAAGATTTGGACTAGAAATGAAAACTGACATCTTAAATAATATTACTCTAACTATAAATGGTAGTATTTAAAATTAGTCCTTGTCATTGACTTGGGAGTTATTATCTTTTAATTCTATTATTCCTTGATTTAAAAAAAATGAAAACCCCTCCTTTAAAAAATAAAGTCCTCCCCCCCAAAAAAAAGGCCAGGTAGAATTTATTCCAGAATATAAGATTATTTCAATATTAAAAAATCTATTAATGGGGTGGAGCGGGAAGGAAGGGGGAAAAAATGAGGAGCTGATGCCAGGGGCTTAGGTGGAAAGCAAATGTTTTGAAAATGATGAGGGTAACAAATGTACAAATGTGCTTTATACAATTGACATCAATGTATGGATTGTGATAAGAGTTGTATAAGCCCCCAATAAAATGATTTTAAAAATCTAATAAAATTAATTTGCACTAATAGGTCAAATGATAAGCTTGAAAAGTTGGTGTTAAGAAGGCATTTAATAAAATTTATTAGTCTATAATAAAAGTATATGTCCTTATAATAATAAAAAATTTACCTGAAATCAATTTAACAAAATAACCAATAGTAAAACAGGAGAGCAGGTTTCTCCATAAGAAATACTATCCCCCCCAAAAAAAGAAAAAAATTCTATCAAATGTTAATAATATCGCTCTAAAAAATGTTCAGTGGTTGTATATGAGAAGCCTCAGGTTAAATACATTTTAACATGTCTTTTTACTTCAGGGTACTTTTTAAACATACATTTATGGACTAAATCCCTAACAGGGAGAAAATTCCTGTTCTAAGACACTAATCCCTACTGTCTCTGCATCCCAACTTTAACCTTTTCTTAGGGCTGAACGCATCTTACAATCAGAGCAGTTCTCAGATGGCAAAGTTTCTTTTCCCACCAGAAAAGTCCTCCCTAAGTCAACTGAGAATCTTATAGTCGAGGGTCTTAGCCTCAAAGAATATTCTAAATCAGAACACATCCTAAATTAGAAAATAATTCAGGATGTAAAAGATTTATTTACAAGGAAGTTAATGCTAGTATTTATAATAGCAAAAAAACTGTAAACAACCTAATAGGGGATTGACTTAGAGTGTGGTACATGCACATGAGTAAATTTTACACAGCAGTTAGAAAATAACATGGAAGCTAGACATGAAAAGCTGTTCAAGATACACGATCCTGTGAAAAAGCGGTTGAGGTATGATTTGTGTTTTAGAAACTTTCCTACACATAGAAGAGAGTCTATGAGGGACATCCAGGTCAACTGGCACGTTCTAGTCCACAAGGCAATGGCCTACTTCCAACTGGTGAGTAAGGACTGAGGTCCTAAAAGCTCATGAGTGAATAGCTAAGGTGCATATAGCAGTCTATCCGCATTCACAGAAAAGACAAGCGAAGGAAATCAAAGGCTATGGGAACAATTTGTCTACAGGACCGATGGGCAAGCAAACCACAGCCTCCACGGCCCTGTGAAGAGAGGAACTAGGTGGGACCAGCCACTGTGTATTCTCATAGGGATCACAGCAGATGGTCCTGAATAGAAGAGGACAGAAATGTAGGGTGTAACTCAAAAATCATAAAAATAGTTTACAGTCTGATGGCGACTGATGGAACCTAAGTCACCTCTCAGGTCTGGCAATCACCCCCATTCAACTTTCAGCCAAACAGACAATCCTACAAGGCGAACAAGAGCACCAACAATCGACCACTTGACACCCCAAAGGGAACCTTTTCCTGGAGAAAATTCTGAAGGTGGAAAGAAGGACAAGTGGCAAAGGGAAGTACTGTATCAGGAGGATTTGGGATGAGTGCTGCCACCGTGTGGGGAGTGCACTCAATGTCGTGAAACAAAACGTGTATGAATGCTGAAGGGAAAACTAAGCTGCTCTGAAAACTTTCACCCAAATCACAATGAAAAGTTTTTGTGTTTTTTTTGAAAAGAGAAGAGTGTTGGAAAGTTATGAACCAAAATCTTAACAGAGGTGGGATGAGAGGCATATTTATTTTTCTCCTTTATGCTCTCTGATACTTATATAATGAACTGGCATAACATCTATAATTTTATTTTTAAAGTGCTGGTTCAAATTAAACAAAGCATCTTCTCCCAGGATTGCCTGACTGGTTACTCACATGGGCTTTTTTTTTTCTTTCCCGGATGAGGATTTATTGGCATTGAATGCAACCATATAGAAACATAAGTTATGAAAAACAGTCACGATGTGGCCCTGTACCACATGGGCTTTATAGGACAAATGAATGTGCCTGTCTTCTTTGTCTAGTTAAGAGCCAGCCTAGGACAGTGTAATGCACACAGTTAACTTGCAAAGGAAGGTATGCCACTGAAAGCACCAATCAAACTTACCGACTTTGAGAAACGTTTTTAGTTCCAAGGGCCGCAGCAAGGGCTGCTTTTCGATCCGGCCGTAAGTTTCTGCTATGCTCTCTACTTCCACTTTGGGGCACTTAAACAGCTCGTAAGTCCCATCGCGGTTCTGGATAAAGCTCCGGGTGATTTCCAAGGGCATCTGGACATTCCAAGAAGAGGGAAAGAAGAAACGTTCAAAGTAGACAACTTCCTGGAGGACAACAGATCTTTCACTTTGAGGTACTTAGTTTATTGTGCCAACCTGGCTGATAAACACGTGGGATTAATTGAAGGGCGGAGAAATAAATGGCTCGGCAAGCCTCGTCTTTCTTGTCTCTTGCTCTTTGATCATCGGACCAGTGTGTAGCTGCCTTGCTTGTTCTGTGCCTCAATTTGCAAGCTACACTACCTGTGGGACACCTAACCCGTGGACTGTGTTGCTGTAATTTGAGGTTCCTTCAAGACCTGCTTCGCCACACCATTGTGGGTTTCTGAGACAGTACATCTTTGTGGAAATAGAAGGCTTCATCTTTCTCCCACAGAGCGGCTGGTGGTTCCAAACTGCTGACCTTGTGGTTAGTAGCCCAATGTATAACCCACTATGCCAGTCACCATGGTGCCTTCATAATGACTAGGGGATCTTCATTTAATTTACAAGAAAAATCCTCTCATTTCCTGATGCCAAAGGCAGGAAACACAGGGGCCCTGAATCTGCTGCCTGCAAATAACTTTTGAACCTTAAGCCAAAACTATCCCAGAAATCATCTTTAAATGATAATGTAGCTCAATAACTAATTTGTCTGGAGCATGGCACCCTATGGAAGAATTCCTGAAATAACAATAGTAACTCAGAGAGTAGACGTTCATGGCAGTGAAACGGTAGGGGCCAACATAGTGACAGCGGGTAAAATGTAACCATAGGCAGTAAGATGCATACAGAAAAGTGTTGAACAGACATTGTGTGTGTACATTTACACACATACACACACACACACACACACACACACACACACACACCTACACCTGACAGAGGAAACAGGACAATCCAATTTTGAGCTGTGAGGACTATCCATTAAAACCAGCGTCAGAACTATAAAACTAGTGTCCCTTAGCATGAAGCACAGCTCTGGGTTCTTTAACTCAAGGAGCTTGTGCAAATGCACTTCCTATACTCCCTTTCTTCCCCTCTCCCACCCTCCTACTATTATGGGGGGGGAAAAAATCTTACCTCTGGGGTATCTAAGATTTGTTTCACTTGCAGAATATTCGTGATATGCCAGGTGTACTTGGAAAAGGTCCCCAGTGGCAAGGCATCTTTCCGAACAAAAGCTACAATGTAAAAGGGGGACAAAATTAGAGGAGCAAAAAATAAGTTTCTTTCAGTCTGCCTGTTCCTTATTTTCTAGAGAGTTCAGTGTAAGGTTTGTCTTTCTTTATAGAAACATAGCACTTTAAATAAAAAAATAAATTATTTTTTAAGATCATTTTATTGGAAATGAATCATTTTATTGGAGGCTCTCATAGCTCTTATAACATTCCATACATCAACTGTATCAAGCATATTTGTACCTATGTGGCCATCGTCATTTCTAAAATATTTTCTACTTGAGCCCTTGGTATAAGCTCCTCTTTTTTCCCTTTCCTACGTCACCCTTAAAAATAAATCCTAAGGGCAAATATACAATAGGGTTTGACTGATATGTGACAAACCCAATTATATGGATTTCTGCTATTTTAAGCCTTTGTTTTATGTTTGATGCCCCTTTTTGAGGCTATTCATTTTGTTCCCTTAGGAAGGTCTTTGGTAAACTAAGGACTCCATTATAAAGCACTTACAGCTTTAGATATATCAGAGGCCCAATCACACCTTTCAAAACAATGACATGGAGTTGAAGCCAGCTAGCATGATTGCCAACTACTACCTCCCCTGCAGCATTATGTAAAGGGCTTCCGCTGAAGGGTCTGTAAAAACAGTTAAAGACCCAACGCTGCCTCGAGAGACAGACTGATAAGCTGTGAAGACAGAGCTCCGGCACATGGAGTCACAGTTTACGATTCCAAAGCAGGTTTAACTCTCAAGAAGTCACTGTTAGAACTTCAAGTAGCAATTTACTGGAGGAAGAACCCTGACTTCTGGTTGCAGGGCTTTTTGTCACGAACAATTCTTTCTCTTCCTCATTCCCAATTCCCTAATAACAACCCTCCTGAGGTCTCCCATAGAGAGATGCTATACACACCAAGAAATAAGTATCAGGATAATGTAATTATAAAGTGTTTCCAGCCTAAATTACCCTAAAATAAAATATCCTTTCATGAAAAAGTGGGAATCATGACATTGTCACGTAAAAAAAAAGCTCTTTTTTTTAATGCATAGAATCATGTGCTTCAAAAAGCCAACCTGCTATTGGGGAACGTGATGCTTTTGTGGAAATCAGATTATTTCTCAAAAGTACCAAGCTTCTTGGTGGCTACCTTTTCACTAATTGCCTTTCATTGCTCCTCATTTTTCAAGTTTGTACTTTGTGGAAACTTCCAATCAGTCTTCCTGGAATAAATGGGTCCTTAGAGTAAATAGTCATCATTCTTAGAGCTGTGTGAGAATGTAAGAAGTAAGGCTTCACTCACAGGGCACGTGACTGACAGTCTAAGCAGATAAAATCCCAGGGCCAGGAACTCTGCTCTTCTTGGGGGGCACATACCTGTGGTGGAGTTGGGGAGCCGCTTCTTTGCACTTCCCATAGAGATTCTTTGTTGCAGGGCTTCAAAGAAGGACTGGGGAATGTGGAACACCAAGGGCTCAGGTTTGCCTGGAGGACAGAAGTGGCAGCTCAGCAGGGGTTCTGACGGGTGGGAGAGGCGAACGATGTGGAAATAATGCAGGCTTAGTGAGGCTTCTTGATACTGAAGAACAAAAATCCACATTCATCATGGTGCTTCAAGCACTGGTACCAGCCCTACTCCTTTTCCCTTAGGACGATAAAACATACACATATGTACAGCAGATCCTAGTCATCCAAAACTATCACTTCAAATGCCCAATTTTGTAAACACCACCATAGCACAGGCTTTGTGAAATGAGACCAGGTGAGAGTGACGAGGCAGAGGTGTGGAGGGCGTGTCCATTCACCCCTGCTCACTATCCCCGGCCCTTGCTGGCACAGCCACGTCTTAGCAAAGCAACCACATACGTTCATTCAGAGGAATGCAGACACCAAAAGTTGGGCGATCAGCTAGCCAATGAGCACAAGCCTTCGTCTGAACTCAGGGTCAAATGAGTACAGAGTTGTCCTAAGTGATAGTTACGGCAGAGGGGGGTACCCAGAACCAGGTGAATAACACTTAGTTTCTGTCAGCCCGATGCAACTTAGGGGCTCTGGTGTCATAGTGGTTACACACTGGGTTGGTAACTTCAAGGTCAGTAGTTTGAAACCACCAGACTGCCAGAGAAAGATGAGGCGTTCTACTCTTGTAAAGAGTTACAGTCTCATAAACTGATTGTGCTAGCAAACGTCCAATACTGCTTGATGTGAGCAAACTATGGAATGATCTAAGTATTAACTCCCAATTAATAGCGATTATTAATCAAGAAAGATTAATAAACTATATATATTAATGACATATAGTGCAATTCTAGGTGGTGGGGGAGAGTTACAGCCTCAGGAAACCACAGCAGGTGTTCTGCTCTGCCCTACAGGGCTGCTATGAGTCAGAATCAACCAAACGGCGGTGAGTTTGGAGGGTGTTTTTTATACAACTTAACAATCATCTTTAAAAAAATTAGTTTATTTTTAGCAGTTTCACAGACCTGCAAGTCACAGATCATACATTTCCGTAGTTCAATCACACTCATACGAGCTGTGCCACCACCACCACGATCAGGTCCAGGACAATCCTTCCCCCTTGACCTTGTCGTTGCTCGCTCCCCTCTCCTGTCGTGTCCCTTTGAGTCTCGTGAGCCAAAGCTGTCGTGTCTATGGGTTTACCTACTCTGGGTTTCATACACAGAAAAGCAGGAAACCAAGGCCAAATATACACAAACCACCCAACACGGACAGAACGAATGGAGAAAAGCTTCAATCGAAAACAAAACAGACAAGATTGAAGACTGGAGGAATGACACACTGGATTAAGATCTTGACCTGATGATATGTGCAGTCATCGGCCCGACAGTGTGCACTGTGACCAGGCCTTTCCCATCTCTGGCCCATAGTCCGAGGGAGTTCATCAGAGGTTTAATTCAGAGGGGTCCTGTGAATGGTCCCTGTGAAAACCATCTCTCAACAAAGACCTAAAGGTGGAGGCTTCTCAAAGAAAGACTTGAGCAGCTAATACCAAGGGCTCAAGCAGAAAGCAAATGTTTTGAGAATGATGATGGCAACAGGTGTATAGATGTGCTTGACACAATGGATGGACCTGTGGATTGTGATGAGAATTGTACGAGCCCCCAATAAAATGATTAAAAAAAAGTAAGACAGACTTAAGGAGGTCAAAGGTCTTTTAAAACAAAGGTTAAGCTAGGAAAATAAAAATGAAAAACTTTCTACAATTTCTTAGAAAAATTACCTTATTTCAACTGACCTATTTGTGCAATGCAGGACGTCAGTGACAAAACTGTCAGTACTTTTGAGCCTCTAAAAGATTCACGCCTGGGCACGTCAGAGGAACCTCCCACAAAGAAGTGAGGAGTTCTTTTATTCTGAAATTAGATGATGCGGTACATACAAGGGTCAGTACAACGCTACAAGGGCCGACGAGCAGGCACTCAGCTGGCACGTGCCAGAGCTCAGGGTTAAGAGTTCCTCGGCCAGCACTGTGAGAAACAGACTCCCATCAGGAGAAGCTGAAGGTGGGGTGGACAGAGGTGACGCTATCATATTGGAAAAGGTGAGCAGACTTACCTCAGCATCAGGGCAGGAATGGGAAGGTGGGGAATCACAGAATGTGCCTTACATTCTTGTCCGTGTCTTATTTTCTGTATTTATCATATTATTTTACACAATAAATACATACATTTTTAAAAGAAAAACAACCAAAAAAGACTCTTTATAACCCTAAGGAGCCCTGCTGTGTCCTAGGTTGCATGCTGAACTACTATCTGCAAGGTTGTCAGTTCAAGCCTTCCAGTGGTTCCACAGGAAAAGCTGAAGCTTTCTGCCCCTATGAAAACGTACCCCCTTTGGACCCTGTGAGGACAGTCCTGCTCTCCCCTGTGGGCTTGCTACGAGTGGGAACTGACTCAATGGCAGCGAGTTTAGTTTTTATAACCCTAAAAGGTTTTCTAAAACAGTGATTTCTGAAGTCTTCCTTATTCTGGATTAAAAATTCAACTAAGCTATATTCCGAGGCTCTCCATTCTTGAGCTTCTTCTATTCGCCATAAATCATAATCATTCTAGTCCTTTAAAATGCATTCCCTCCTAGGGTGTTTTTTGTTTTGTTTCCCTTTTTTTTTTTTTTACTAATGAGATGGAAGTGATTGTTTATTTTTACATAAAGAATTAAATGGTGGCAGAATATTTGATACCGCAGGATATAGAGCATATTCACCATTTTTCGGAATTGATTGGTATTTTGCTTTTCTTTTCTTAATGATATCCATAAACTGGAATATATTCAGTAAAGAATACCAAGATTATATGAGGTCTGTAAATATGCCAGGAAGAATGTTAAAAAAACATGGGGTATGTTATCTGAACAAGAGAGGTCCTATTAGGTGGGGCAATGGGAATGAGAGTGTGTATTGGGACTGAGAGTGTGTGTGCGTGCGTGTGTGTGTGTGTGTGTGTGTGTGTGTGTGCGCGCTTGCGCATGTGTTCAGGACACTGGCACTGTAGGCTAGGCATTGAACTGCTAACCCACCACTACACCAGAGAAAGATGATGCGGTCTCCTCCCATGAAGATGTAGTCTTGGGAGCCCTACACAGGGTCACGTGACTCAGAAGAGCCTTGATGGCCGTGGGTACGGGTGGTTTGATATGAGTGTCAGGAACTGCTATTTGGAAACAAGACTAGCTCATGTGGTTCCACAGCACAGAACTAGAGTCAACAGGAACATGTGACAAGGAAACATAGCTACTTGGCACGAGAAAGATCTTCCTTACAACTACTGTCCTAAAAATGTATCACTAGTTATATTCAGTTGCCTCAAAAATCAGTGAGCGCTTCCTCATCCCTGGGCAAAGCCTGGGAAATCACCCAACATGCTGGATTGGAGTGTAATCTTTATAGCATCTGGGAAGCTCAGAGATTTCAGAGCTGGACCATTGGCCAGTTTTCACTCCAATCTTTTTGTCTCTCGTGTTTTTCTCGAAACTTTCCCTCTCTATCTTCAATTTAACCCATCCATCAGTCCGCCGTACTGTGAAGGCTAGTATGTTACTGTGGTGCTGGAAGCTATTACCAACAGGATTCCAAATGCCAGCAGGGTTCCTCACAGTGAACAGGTTCCCTGACGCTTCCAGCCTAAAACAGACTAGGAAGAAGAAAGAAGCAAAGCTGGAGGACATTATGCTGAGTGAAATTAGTCAAAAGGACAAACAGTGTAGGAGACCACTATTAAGAAAATCAAGAATAGGCATTCACACTAAAAGAAACATCCTTTGATGGTTCGCAGCAATGGGAGGGGAAAGGAAGGAGGGAAGCACAGGCTAGCGCACAGACAGGCGATACAGTAAGTGCAGGGGAAGGCAGTCCACAGTAGGAGGGAGGATGGGAAAACAGGATGGAGGCAGGAGAAAACACTGGGAGGTTTCCAAGAGTTAAAGGCAACAGAGGCCAATACTACTGTATACACAATTCTGCAATTTTGTGGTGTTCTACCAGTAGATGATTGGATAGCTATTCAAGCTGAACAGGTGGGAGAGGAATAGTGGGGATGTACTAACTAATCTATATAGCTTAGCAGAGAATATCTGTACATGTATATATATATTTCTGTATATGTATATTTTTGCTGCAAATATATACATGAATGTGCTAGAGCATACAAGGGGCAAAGTTATGAAAATTTCTTAAGACATAACCAAGCACCTTGGAGGAATGAGTCACGTGGCCTCAGAGACCCGGATCACAGGCTCAGGGACAGGATGTGCAGAGCACAGGCCACACAGACAGTGCTCTGCGGCCCACGTTGGTGAGTAGTGACGGGAGTCCTGAGAGCGCGGGTGGAGTGTCTAAGGCTCGACTGGGGGTCTCTCCCCATCCAAAGGAGAGAAGAGTAACGAAAACCAAGACACACGGAAACAATTAGTACAATGGACAATATATACATACAATATATATGGTAGAAGGATTGTACAGGCAAAATATTTAATGATGCAGGAGACATCAGAAGAAAATGTTAGAAATACACAAAGCCATTCTGAAAAACAAAAATTGTATGTGTTCAACCACTTCAGAAGGTAGTAGCATATACCATATATACTCGTGTATAAGCTGAGTTTTTCAGCACATTCTTAATGCAGTTTTTGTGGTAAAATTAGGTGCCTCGGCTTATATTTGGGTTGGCTTATACTCGAGTATATACAGTAATAGAGGGCTGGTGGTACTGAAGGAAGAAGTCTGCTGTACTAGTGGCATCAGTGAAAAGCAAGCCTCCAGGAATGGAGAGATGGCAATTGAAATGTTTGAACAAATTGTTAGCACTCACTCATCTGTGCCAAGAAACTTGGAAGAAATCCATATTTGTGCTTATGAAAGGTGACCCAACAGAATGAGGAATTACCAAACAACATCATTTTTTAAAAAACTAATCATTTTATTGGGGGGGGGGCTCTTACAAATGTTTTAACAATCCTTCATTCTATTGTATTAAGCACACTTGTACATAGGTTGCCACTAACACTTTTAAAACATGTTCTTTCTACTTGAGCCCTTAGTATCAACTACTTTTTACCCCTCTCTCCCCCACCCTCCCAACCTCATGAATCCTTGATCAATTATATATTATTATTGTTATTTCGTGTCTTACACTGTCCGTTGTCTCCCTTCACCCACATTTCTGTTATTTGTCCTCTGGGTGGGGGGCTCTATATCCAACCTCGTGATGGGTTCCCCCTTTCCCCCCGTTTCCCCCACCCCACCCCCACCATCTCCCACCCTCATGATATTGCTACTCCCACTACTGTTCCTGAGGGTTTTGTCTGTCCTGAATCCCATGTGTCAAGAACTCTTGTCTGAAAAATGAGGAGCTGATGCCAGGGGCTTACATGCAGAGCAAATGTTTTGAGAATGATGAGGGTAATGAATGTACAAATGTGCTTTATACATTTGATGTAGGTATAGATTGTGACAAGAGTTGTATGAGCCCCCAATAAAATGATTTAAACAAAACAAAACTTTTATCTGTATTAATGTGTGTTCTCTGGTCTAGCCGGATTTGTAAGGAAAAACCAAGTCATGGTAGTGGGGGGAGGAAGCTTTCAGGAACTGGAAGAATGATGTGTGCTTCATTGGTGCTATACAGTACCCGTTACTGCACCCTTCTTTGTAACCCTTATGTGGGGGGATGTCCAATTGTCTACTGATGGACTTGGGGTCTCCTCTCTAACCCCCCTAACCAGCATCACTAATCATGCAAATAAAATTTTGCTGAAGATAATTCAAACACAGTTACAGCAGTACATCAATAAGAAGCTGCCAGAAATTCAAGCTGGATTCAGAAAAGGATGTGAAATAAGGGATATCATTGCTGACATCAGATAGATCTTGGCTGAAAGTACCAGATACCAGAAAGATGTTTTTTTTGTGTTTTGTTGACTGTGCAAAAGCATTTGACTGTGTGGATCATAACATGATGGGTAGCACTGGAAAGAATGGAAACTCCAGAACACGTAACTGCACGTGCAGGACCTGCATGTAGACTTACGGCCCTTCAAACAGAAAAAGGAGATACTGCACAGTTTCAAGTCAAGAAAGGTGTGCACCGGGGTTGTGTCCATTCACCATACTTCGTCCATCGGCGAACTGGACAAATATGACAAGCTGGACTATGTGAAGAACTCAGTATCCGAGTTGGAGAAAGGCTCATGAATAACTTTGTGATATGCAGATAACACAGCCTTGCTCCATGAAAATGAAGAGAACTTGAAGCCCTTCCTTTTTGTTTTTTTGAAGCACTTCCTGATGAAGATCAATGACCACAGCCATACAGATTACATCTCAATATAAAGGAGACAAAAATTTTCACAATTGGACCAATAGATAAATGGAGAAAAGACTGGATTTGTCAAGGGTTAAATTTGAGTTGGATCCACAATCAATGCTCATGGAAGCAGCAGTCAAGAAGTTAAATGATGTTTTCTTTGGGCAAATCTGCTGTACACAACCTATTCAAAATATGAAGTAGCAATGATGTCAATTTGAGAACTAAGGTACACCTGGACCTAAGCTTCATGTGCATGCCAAAGCTGGACAATAAGGAAGACCAGAGAAGAACTGATGTATCTGAATTATGGTGCTGGCAAACAATATTATCAACTGCCATAAAAACAAATAAATCTTTCTTGGAAGAAGTACAAACGAGAATGATCCTTGAACGGGAGGGTGGCAAGAGTTTGTCTCACATCCCTTGGGCATGGTATCAGAAGACAGCAGTCCCGGATGTCTCCTAAGAACATCATACTTGGTAGAGGGTCAGAGAAAAGAGGAGGACCCTAAGTGACATGGAGTGACTCAGTGGTTACGACAAGGCTCAGTAAACAGTCGTTGTGAAGAGAGCACGTAACCAGGCATGATTTTGTATGTGGGACTGCTACTAATCAACACTGGTTCCGCAGCACCTACCAACAACAGCTTCAATGGAAGGTCAGAATGATTCCAAGGTTTGATATCTTTCTAACAGACACAAATTACATACACCCCCCAGCTTCAGAGCTATCTCACTTTACTTTTATGCTCTTTTGTCTCTTTCTCTCCAAATTCCTTTTGCTGCGCCTGCCTTTTAATTAGGTTCCACTCTGATTTATACTTTTTGGAAAATATTTTTGTTGCAGTTGTGGAGATTATTAGATTTCTACTTTCTTAAAAACATGGTGCATTCTGGACTAAAGTCCAGTAACTTTTCCTTCCTTTAAAAATGCAGAACAACTATAGCATGATTACTTTAGTTTCTTTTACTGCCACCAACTCCCCAGTAGGTAACCCACACTTACCATCAAACTGATAGTGCATGGTTTGATGGATGCGCTCTGTGACACTGGCCAGCCACTCCTGGAAGGACAAGGTCACTTGTGCCTCATCCAACAGCTGGCTGCAGGCTAAGGAAAACAAACAAAACCAAAACCTCGTCAGTGACTTTTGTCTTCTTATAGAAGATATAGTCAATTAAAGTTTGAAAAGTTAAAGAGCTTGGACAGAAAAAAAAGGAACAAAAATATTCAATGTACAGAAATTGAATGCACTAACTGAAATGGAAGATTCAGGAGTTACTGTGTTGTTGTTAAGTGCTGTCGAATCAGTTCTGACTGACAGCAACCCTATGTGCAACAAAACAAAATACTCTCGTCTATTTTCTTTTAGAATTCATATATATATATATAAATATATATATATATGAATATATGTCTTCAGCGGTACACACACACACACACACACACACACTGCTAAAAGGTCGGCAGTTCAAACCACCAGTTGCTCCTCTGGAGAAAGACGGGACTTCTGACTCTCATGAACAACTGTAGTACTGGAGACACACAGGGCAGCTCTGCCCTGTCTTACAGGGCCACTGTGAGTCGGCATCAGCTTGACGGCAGTGAGAGTTAGTACACACACACTTCTAAACTCTGGAAGAATAAAGATTATCAAGCACAAAATGCCAGCATCTTCTCAACACTACACTGCAGATTTAATCATGGCCCTGTATAATAGCTTTTTAAAAAATCTATCCTATTCCTGATGAATACTTTTTTATATGCCTCAAACCCTCTTAATAATGAAGCTATCTGTTCATGTGTCTTGGCAGCAATCTCCTCTTGGACTTACGAGGTTCCAGTGCAGGGAACTTTGTTACTTTGGGTCCACTCCCCGCTCTTCTTTCTTGGTGGCAGTAGGTCCCTCTCTCTGCTCCCTTCTCTCTCCGTATGTTTTGTAAGATAAAAGGTGTTGCGGGCCACACGCCAGGGAAAGTCCCTTACATCAGATTAGAGTGGAATCTGAGCATCCTGCCCTAATCCCCCAATAGCAGATCAGGCCTGATGGCATCAGACGACAAGAAAGCAGATTACTGTCATTAAAGAACTGCCCCATTACATCATTCCCTAACTTCCAAACCACTGAGCCTCAGAGTCCAGCCAAGTTAACACATATTTTGGGGAGGGGGCTGGTGGACAGGGTCACAATGCAATCCACGAGTACGTGTCTGAAGTATATCCCATTTTAGAGAAGGATAATTAATCATCTGAAGTTAAAATTGACCACAGGCAAATATGAATATAATAGAGCTTGAATCAGGTGTACCTCAGTCCTCAAAGTGACGTCTTTTCTCTCACACTCACGAGAAGTCTTGTGCAGATCTGCCCAATGCAAGATGTTTGATTCTTGACTGCTACTTCCATGACCATTAATTATGGGTCCAAATAAATAGAAATCCTCAATAGCTTCACTTTTTCACTGTCATGATGCTGTTTATTGGCCCAGTGGTGAAGATCTGAGTTTTCTTTACACTGCGTTGTAATCCATACTGAAGGCTGCAGTCCTTGATCTTCAGCAGGTAAGTGCTTCAAGTCCTCCTCACTCTGAGAAAACCATGTCGTCGCCCGCTGTGGGTTGTTCATGAGTCTCCCCTCAGTCTTGACACTGCCCTCTTCTCCACAGAGTCCAGTTTCTTGGACCATTTGCTCAGCATCGGACTGAATACATATGGTGAAAGGGTGCACAACTCTGATGCGTATCTTTCCCAACTTTAACCACACAGTATCCCTTGTTCTGTTCAAATAACTGTCTTTTGGTCAACAAGTTATGGAATTCCCACAGCTTGCACCTTATCTGTCATTTGTTATGATCCAGACAATCAAATGCCTTCGTACAGTCAATAAAATTAGACAATAATTAGTCAAAAGTTAGATGTAAGTAAACATCTAACTGGTATTCTCTGGATGCTTTTGTTTCGTTTTATAACATAAGGGCAGTGAATAAAGAAGACTAAAGGAAATGGGTGCATTTACTTATGGTATTGGCAAAGTATATTGCCTACACCACAGACTTCTGGAAGACCAAACAAACCTGTCTCAGAAGAGGCACAGTCAGAATTCTCTTTAGAAGCGAGGACGGCTAGTCTTCATTCCATGTGCTTTGCACTTGTTATCAAGGGGCATCAGTCCCTTGAGAAGGACATCAAACTCGGTAAATTAATGGATAAGTGGAAAAGAGGAAGACCCTCAATGAGATGGACGGACACAGTGACTGCCATAATGGGGTCAAACACTGGGTTCCAGCAATGATTGTGAGGATGGCATAGAAGAGGGCAGCATTGGGTTCTGTTAACCCTAGTGTAGCTATGAGTCAAGACAAGCTGAGTCAACTCAACTTGAAGGCACCCAACAACAAGAGAATGAGTGTCCACCTCTTTACCCCACTCTAGGAAAGGGGCACTTACCCTGCCTCTTCAATGATGAAGCAACCACCGGCTTCTTCAGGGCACTTTTCCTTAGGTTACTGCTGACTGCATCTTGAGGCATCAGTGAACCGTTTGTCTGCATACCTAAACCAGAAATCATCACAGCATTCAGCAACATCTGTGCACAATGTAAATGACTGGATATTAATTTCCAGACTCTCAAATATAGTCTTTGCAAGTTACTCGGTTAGCGTCACAGTTTCTAGATGAAATTAGCATTAGTCTTATATCCATTGTAGCACATTAGGAGGAACCAAGCCAGAAGCACCAGAATGAAAAATACTGACCCAGTGTTCTCAGTCTCAGACACTCACTACTAATTTTCTGGTGAGCTGTCTTCTTTTTTTTTCTACCATGAGTAATTTTGTTTTGATGGTGTCATTATTTTTTTAATAGCTGTGATTTTACTTACATTGGTTTATAAAAAAAATTTAGTGTGGGAGGGTAGAGGGAGAGTGGGTTGGAAAGAAGGAACCGATTACAAGGAACTATATGTGACCTCCTCCCTGGGGGACGGACAACAGAAAAGTAGGTGAGATGTTAGACAGGGCAAGATATGACAAAATAATAATTTATAAATTATCAAGGGCTCATGAGGGAGAGGGGAGCAGGGAGGGAGGGGAAAAATGAGGACCTAATGCCAGGGGTTTAAGTGGAGAGAAAATGTTTTGAGAACGATGAGGGCAATGAATGTACAAATGCGCTTTACACAATTGATTTATGTATGGATTGTAATAAGAGTTGTATGAGCCCTTAATAAAATGATTAAAAAAGAAAATTTAGTGTATGTTCCATAAATTACATAGGAGATATTCATACTAAAAAATTATCCTTTATCTAAAATTCAAATTTAACTGAACATTTTATATTTTGTTTGGCTTCCCTTGTGATCTAACATTTTCCAAATTTTGTTCCAATTATTATTAATGGCTGCCTGACAAGCTAGCCAGCGGCTTAACCACACAGGCTGATCCTTTAATGTTTCTAATTTTTCAATATTACAAGTAACCATAAGATGAACAGCTCTGGACAAAATGCTTTTCCTGTACCAAAGATTATTTTCTTCAAAATAGAAGTCACACTAGTGAGTCAGAAAATAATAATTTTTGAGGGGTTTGGTTTAATATTTCACGTTTTCCTGGAGAACAACAAGGAACATTGAACAACAATCTCTACCTTGCTGCCAGAATTGCTTTCTAAAGATAGCAATGAGCATGTCACGTTGTTTCTCAAAAACCTTTCTCTAACTCCCTAACACCAATACTCTGGTGCATGCCACCTGGAAAGGAGCAGTGGGTTAGGGACTGGTCTACTAACCGAAGGCCAGCAGATCAAACCCATCAGCTGTCCCATGGGAGAAAGGAGTGTCAGTTCTTTCCATAAAGATTCCTGCCCTGGATACACTATGAGGTAGTTCCCTTCTGTCCTCCAAGGTGCTGGGAGTCAGAATCAACTAGATGGCAGGTGATGTTTGTGATCACCTGATCACTGCTTCCCGAGGAGAGGAACATATGTAAGGTGGGGAACAGAGACTGCGGAGTTCTTAAGTGATGCAAATAGGCAATGTGCTCAGAGAATAACACAGCGGTTCTCAACCTTCCTCATGCCGAGACCCTTTCATACAGTTCTTCATGTTGTGGTGACCCCCCAACATAAATCTGTTTTGGTTGCTACTTCATAACTGTAATTTTGCTACTGTTATGAATTGGGTGACCCTGTGAAAGGGTCGTTCGACTCCCAGGTTAAGAACTGCTTGACTAACAGAAAGGCTGGATATTCAAGTCCACCAATGGCACCTTGGAAGAAAGGCCTGGTGATCTACTTCTATAAAAGCAGTCGGGGGTGGGGGGTGGGGAGAAGAAAAAACAAAAGAGCTGGTACTGAAGGCTCAATAGAAAGTAAATGTCTAGAAGAGAATGAGGGCAACATATATACAAACATGCCTGACTCAATTGATGTATGGATTGTGATAAGAATTGTATGAGCCCCCAATAAAGTGAATTAAAAAAATTGGAATAGAAAGATGATGGGATTTTTTCCACGAAAATAAATAAATAAATAAAAGCAGTCAATAAAAAGCTCATGAAACAGTTTTACTCTGACACACATCGGTTCACCATGAATTGAAATCAATTCAACTGGTAGTGGTGGTGAAGCAGATAGTGCAAACGACTTTTACAAATGGTTATAGTAACTTACGCTCCACTGGCAATGCCAGAGAGCCCTTATTTGACATTTGCCTGTGGTTTCAGCATCTTCAAAATCTTTGCTACATTGGTAGTAAAATTTATTGTTTTAATTTTACATTTCCAAAAGATTTGCATTTTAGTGAGTCTTAAGAATTTCCCCCCTACATGTACAGACCAAGAAATATTTTCATTTTGTTTAAAGTCTAGGTCTTTTTACTTTGACTAGGATGCCTTAGCAACTTAATGTTGATTTCTATGAGCTATTAACTGAGCCTGGAATTGCATTTCTAAAAACTACATATATATATATATATTTATAAAGTACTATTAATATGAGGTACCACATGCTGAAAACTGCAATTCTATATTTGTGTGGAAAATATAATTAACTACCTGTTGCCACAAATCCTTTCGATAAAAGCTTTGTAACACTGCCCTAAGACAGATGAAGGTGTCAGACAGGGTGTTTTGAGGACAAACAAACAGATCCAATACTAAAAGTGAAGTTTGGGTGGATCTTGTTTTTGGCCAACAGAACCAGCTCTTTGCTTGACAAAGAATCTCCCAAAGGGTAAAACTTCTTTCAGGGGGTTAAGTCTTGACCTTGCGGGGGCTTAGCGCGACACATACGGGGCGGTCAAAGCCTGTCTGAGGACACCACCACAGGGACAAGCCCTCCTCACCAGCTCGGTCATCCTTTTTCCTCCTCTTTGGTTTGCAGGCAGTAGGCTCAGAAGCTGGTGCTGTTGATTCTGAATGGCAACCCAACTGGGGCACAATGATCTCCTTGAGACCTAGAAAACAACACGTTTCCGAATTACCACTGCTGTACCCCGGGGGACGGTTAAGGGAAAAGATAATTCACTCTCTTCCCTTATTCACAAACTAGATCATGGGCTGTCTGCTTTAAAAGAAGTTCCTGGGGGGGCGGGGGCCGGGAGTTCCTATGACGAACTCCCCCAAACAGGTTTCTTGCTCATAGACCATTAAATGGGACGCTGACATGTCGGGAGCTGCTACCAACTCAAGATAGGTAAGAAATGAATCGGGAAAATCACCTCCCAGGTACAAACACATCAACCACAAAAGACTCGACAGGAGTTTTCAGAGATGCTCTTTTGAGCAAGCTATTGATTTTCCACATCTTCAAAGATAAGCAAGCAAGACAAAAGACAAGATTCTGCTTTGTTCTTTGTTTTCATTAACACAAGGTATCTGAGGAGGAATACAAATTTAATCAAAATAGACTTTGCTAGATTGTATCAATGAAAAGAGAATTCTCAGTCATTAACCTCAAGCAAGCAGGCTTCATGCAGGTGTGCCGGCTGGACTTGAATGCTTTTCACTTGAATTATCCACCAACTGCTTCTGAAGACAGCTAAGACAGTCTCCAATGCCCCTGGTGGAGTCTCCCATTCCCACTAAACCCACCCACCCACCCACATGTACTGATTGGGTCAACTTTACTACTCACCGCTGGAATCAAAATTGAGGAAGTCGGAGAATTCCTGAGCCAATGTCTCATCACTGGCAAAGGCGCAGATGCAAGCAAAGAAATGAATGCATCTCCGGGCCGCCTCGCCCTTGGAGGTGTTCGACCTGTGCGACTTCAGGGTCTGGCAGGAGCAGACGAAGCGGCGCTCCGGCAAGCTTTTGGCACTGATTTTCTGCACAAAGGATGCGTGCAAATACCCCAGGCTGTGCTTCTGGCTTGCCTTGCATTTCACCACCAAGATGTTTTTGGTAATCCTCTGTACCAGTGGACCCGTGGGTTCCGTGGCCAACTGCCAGATGGTCTGCTTAGTTTCCGGGGAGGCCTGCATTGCATTCAGGACCGAACTCTTCAGGGTCAGAGGCGTGGCCTCTGCCTGGCAGTTCACGGCCAGCTTGATGTGCTGGCACTGGTTTTCCACAACGACTTGGGTGGCAGCTTTCAGGCATGAGGGGACGTAACATCGCCCAGAGCTCAGCTGGGTGATGATCGTGCCGTCCACTGTCTGGATGGTCGTCTCGGAAACACAGAGCTCCACGAAGCAGCGGTAGTCCGGACCCCGGTCCCGTTGCCGCACTGAGTAGACCTGCAGGTCAGAGCCCGTGATGATTTTGACCGCTTCCACACTAGGCTGCTTCCGGGCGCCGTAGCGGAAAATGGTCCCACACGTCTTGTTCTTACAGCTCAGTCCCCGGGTTCCATTGTAGGTGCCACACCGAGGACACTTCCTGATCCCTCTCAGGGTGGCCTTCCCCAGGTCAGATAAGAAGGCTGGGACTTTGGTCCTCAGAGAGCTGTGCTCCATGTCTCACCGGCCCTAGGAGAGGCGATAAGCCCATTAGAATGAGTACACAGCCAGACCGAGACAAGTGAAAACCCTGTAGGGTACCGAAATCAGAAAGTGAAGTGGAAGGGTTCTATCCACAGGTTTAAACTGTGTCTTCATGCAGAACGCCCATATAAACCCTCCAAATAAAAGTGGAAGAAACTTTCCCTTTAGTGTCTGGGCAGTCCTTTTTTAAGCCCTAATGCAACAATCAAAGCATGGCTGCAGGGCTGACTCTGTTCTAAACGCCTGGCGTGCTCAGGTGCTTAGTTATGGCAAGAACAAGAAGACGAGAAAGATAGTTCTTTCCCTTCCACTGTTCCCCCCAGAGCCCAGCCCAGTCCTACCTGTGCCAGCCAGCAGGGCTCTGAGAAACAGTGCTGCCTGAACTCCCGAGCCCTTTCATGAGTTTGTGGTCATCAGAGCAGACAGGTGAAGCCATAATCTTTTGCGGAATAAATGATACTACTTTCGAAAATCTGCTGAAGTGGGAACTCTATGGTGTAATAATGTAGACATTCTACTTTCTCCCAGGGGCCTGACCATTGGCAGAGCTCGGGCCCAGTGTTCCATAGTCCTAAGGGGAGATCTTGGTCGACTATGGGAGAACAAGGAAACAACATGGTAACGTTATATGGAGATGGGTACTTGTTATAGAGATGAGCTAGAACAAGACTTTAATAAGTGTTTCACAAATATTTGAGGGGTAGCTGTCAGAAAATGTTGAAATGAGCAAGTGATTTGAACTCTCCAACTGCATGAGTATTGCTACAGAGGAGGAGCCCTGACAGTATGGTGGTTACGAGTTGGGCTGCAATCTGAAAGGTCAGCAGTTCAAAACCACCAGCAGCTGCTCAGGAGAAAGATGGGGCTTTCTACTCCTGTCAAGAGGCAGTTCTTGTTGTCCTGCCTCCAAATAAAAGTGGAAGAAACTTTCCCTTTAGTGTCTGGGCAGTCCTAAAGCAACAATCAAAGCATGGCTGCAGGGCTGCCATGAGTCGGCATGGGCTCTTTGCCAATGAGTGTGGTTTTTTTAGCATTACACAGGAAATTACCAAGAACCATAGAGTCAAAACACTCTTTAGTCAAATGCTCCTCTTTCTGAATAGTAGGGCTTTAAGCTTTTCAAAATGCATTCACATTGTTTCATTTGAACTTCACAGTAGTAGGGTCTCATTTGAGACAAACAGTACAGCTGAACATCAGCAAGGTGATTTGCCTGAGGTCACCCAACAATATATTGCAGCAAGGCAGTTTCTTTTACCCACCCCTCTCTATAAAGAATGTGAATTTCACCTGAAGACATTTTATTATTAGTGTTTCAAAACCTATAGAGACATGGAAGGAACTGTACAGTGAACACTCATCCACAATCTAGATTTCACAATAGCATTTTACTGAATCTGCTTTATCACCTATCTAACATTCCACCCTCTTATCCATCGGAGATTGTGATTCATTTTGAAATAAATCGAAGGACTCAGTTCAAGTACTTACTAATACAAACTTACGTCATCAAGTCATTCAGCGCAGAGTGAACCTACAGGAGAATTGCGTCTGCGTTTCCAGGACTGTAACTCTCTACTGGAGTATAAAGCCCAGTCTTTCCCCTGCAGAGCGGCTGGGGGTTTCAAATTGCTGACTGTGGTTAGCAGCCCAATAAGTAACCCACTGTGCCACTAGGGATCATGTATATTATTAATAAAGTTCAATGTTTCTAATGGTTTTTTGGTTGTTGTGGTAATCTGCGTGTGTTTTATAAACAGGATCCAAAGGGATGGTCCTGATATATTCTTTTTTTTTCTTCTTCTTTTTTTTGTTTTTGTTTTTTTTGGAGGTGGCACCCGGATATGAACTGGGAGGTAATCTGCGTGTGTTTTATAAACAGGATCCAAAGGGATGGTCCTGATATATTCTTACCACATTTCTGTAATCCACTGATTAGCAATCTGGGTAGTACAAATAAGACTGTTTTGGAATGCCTATTTTTTTATTGGTGCTATAAAATTTCCAACAGGAATTTTTGCTGTGTCCATAAATAAAACTTTATGAAGCACAATCTATAATATGATTTCTCTATCTTAGCACAACTGACATTTAGTACTGGGTAAGTCTTTGTTGGTGGGGGTGGTTCTGGGCACTGTAGGTGTGGCAGTTACATAATCTCCTGTCAACTTGAGCAAAGGGGTGGTGTCTAGCCTGTCAATCAGGTCACAGTCAATGATGCCTCTTCCTCCATGGAAGCATGACACATACTCTCTCTGCTTCACATTCTGTTGACAAGTCACATGAAGCTATGTTGATGGCAGCCAGAGCCCTGGAGCTGGAGAAGCCACATGGAGAGCCGCGCCAGTGCTGAGATGCTTCCACAAGACTTCGCCCATTGGCCTGTGATCTTCCTGCTTTCGGCATCATTTCATGTGCTATGTGAGTCTGTAGAAGAATTTATGGACTAGTATTGGACATATGGGCTAATATTGACCTTATGGGCTAATATCGAACTTATGAACTTGATCTGGACTGGGCTGGGGTGTTTTCTTAATATACAATTACTCTTGGATATAAAACTCTCTCTTATACACATATGAGTGTCTCTGGATTTGTTTCTCTAGTCAACCCAGACTAACACAGTAGGTTTAGCCAAACCTGGGCTTTACCCACTAGATGCCAGTAGCAATCCTCTCAGTTGTGTTAGCCAAAAATGCCCACTCCCTGCCACAAAAAACAAACAAACCAAAAAACCTCACAAAACAAAACTCACTGCCAAAGGTAAACAAGCGGCCATCTAGCTCAGAAGCAACAAAGCCCACATGGAAGAAGCACACCAGCCTGTGTGATCACGAGGTGCCGAA